GTAGGCGGACGAGTCGTGACAAAGGCAATATTTGCGTCACTTTTTGTTCGTACTGTTAACTTTATGATCGATTGTTGTTAAGTACACGGCAAATATTAAATATTCGCTAAGTTATTACCACATTGTCATAAGGGGCACCTTGCGACTGCGTATTGACTAACAATCCTTATGCAACACTACAGAATTGTGTCATATGGGTATACTTTGCTACTTTGTGTCAACAGTTACTGTTTCCTTTATTATCAACATATCAATCAAACTGATTAAGCATGCTCAATACGTTAACGTATTTCTGTGTACATGTTTTATGAAGTACTATAGTAACACACGAACAAAAGCTAATGTTCATTTGGCGTGTTCAATGAAAGCGTTCAGATCACTGCGTGGCAATAATATGAATATATTTCAAGAATTTAATTGAACGTTACATCTATCAAACGTGATCCTACAGTAGTTTCACCATTTTCCATCGAAGTCTTAAAAAAAACCCGTTCGCGCTTGAATAAATAATTCAGTTGTAACTGTTGCTCTGCATAGCGAATGTTATTTATTTTCATTGAATATTAATAACGTCTAAAACAGACACTCCTTTAACTGTCTCACAATTTGTAGTTCAGTGTATATATAATACAAGATAACCAAAATTATTGCCAAGGTTACGGAAAATACTTTTCCACTTTTTTGGACTCCATAATAAGTTATTTTATGCTAAGTTTATGAGTTAACTTGATCTTTAAATAGATTCTTGATAAATTAAATGCCAATTTATCTTTTATCGATCAGTCATTATTTTCTTTTTTAAATGCAAGAGGCATCATAAGGACAATCGCAATTTTTCCGATACGTATCTTAATTATAGTCTCATTTATGGGTGTATACTGTATATAATATATATTTATACATCGATCACATGTCACGAATGTTGGGTGAGCAGAGCATGCAAATCGTTCATGTCACTCGACTCACTCGGACCCCCGGACGCACGAGCAGTCGCGTGCGCAGTGTCACTTTCCCCTGGATGGCGCCCGCGCAGGTTTCTGTTTCGAAGGCGCGCATGCGCTCTCTCGTGTGGAATGCCCGCCGCACTAGGAGATGCATTCAATGCAGGTACTTTGAAACTTCTAGAAATACTCTATACTTACGTATAATTACATGGTCGTTAACGAAACAAGACTAGTTTTATTAACGAAAACAGATGTTGCATGGCAGAAACATGATACACGATGGGTCTACATTGGTTGGAATTTTAAACACCCCTAATTTGTGATAAAATAACTCACCTACTAAAATACCACAAATCTGACATGTAAAAAAAACTATCAAATAAATCCAATCAAAACTGACTGCAACATTCGATTTGGTAACATCATAAGTTTTTTAGGCCAAAATGCAACTATCGTTTTCGCGGGCCGCTGACTTCCTAGTAGATATTCGTTCTGCTAACTCGTAATCTGTGCGATGCCAATTAAAATTATATAATTCAAGCCAACGCATCTGAACGCAGTTGATGAACGACCAAAACAAGGTGTTTTACGATCAGCGAACACGAACCGCGGCTAATGCGTTGCAAGTAAGAGCAACGCACAATATAATAGAATTACTAAAGTGCATCGGTTTTATAACAAGTTATGTATATTTATTATTTTACTTTATGCGATTATTGGCGTAGATTAGTCACACGTGAACAATATTGGAATGGATTAGAAGAAGTGTAAGGTTATAAAATAAAAAAGACTTTAGTTAGATATAAAGTTACATTTACCTTTGTACTGGTTCCCTACTAATACAAAGTAATTTCTTAAAACTGCAGGTGCACGCGAATGCAGCCGGAGTGGCAGGATAATCGCCTTACTTGTATGGGGCATCGCTAATTGATCTGATCTCATCAACTGACAAGTCCCTTCGGGTTAAACATGTATGGACTGCCTAATTAGGGATATTGCGTAAGTGAACAATTATGTTTTTGTGTTAGAAATAAGAGGGAATGCAAATGTCAGTGGAGTAATTATTGTCTATTGAAAACACCTTTCATGCCCTAATGCGTACTTAAAAAAACCGATGCGTTCTCCCCTAATCTCAAAATCCCCATAAGGACTTCCCCTTACAATAATAAATACAAAAAAAAAGAATTGGCAATCCAGGTCCAGTGTTGTACGGTGACCTATGCTTACCAACACATTTTGCGATTCATTTTTATAACATTTATTATACAATAGAAGATAGATAGATTAGGGACTATGAAGGTTGCTAATGTGAATAGTAAATCAAATCTCTCTCATCAACATTAGTTTGAATTTCGAATGTCGAGTTTCGCGCGCATTGAACAGCGCAAGTTTGGCACGATTAGAATGATTTCTCTCTGAGAGTTAAGTGGTAGTTAGAGACACCCAAAACTACTGATTTACGCAAGAACATGAATAATATCGAAAGTCAAGTTGGCGTGTTTTTGTAACTATACTTTTTTGCTAAGCATACAACATATCTATTGCCAAACTTGTAATGAAATAGCTGGCACAAATATTAATAATCATGACATGATTATTACATAATTACTGGTTGACCAGTTGAGGTAAAGATTTAATATGAACATGGAAGGTCTCTCTGCCGACATTGACTTAGTGACATAGTTCCTATAAATACATTACTGAAGTAAACATTGTTTATACTTTTGCACATGTACCAATTGGCAGCATTTCAAACACATTACTGTGTAATGAAATTCAAAAACTACATCTATTTGCTAGATTTCTATGCAGTTGAATTGGGGAATATATTACTACCTAGTATAAAACAAAGTCATTTTCTCTGTCCCTATATCCCTATGGATGCTTAAATCTTTAAAACTATGCCATTGATTTTGATGAAGTTTTTTTATATTTTAAAGATAGAGTGATTGGAGAGGATGGTTTATATGTAGAATGACATCCATTGATTCAGTGGAGAAATTTAGTATCAGAATTGCACTTGTGCGAAACCAGTGTGGCTCGCTAATAAAATAATAAAATTAAAGCATATGACAGTTGTCTATGATAAGTTATGGCACAAATACCTCCCAGATTCCCTGATTTGTTGGTGAACATATATTGTTAATTGAATTTTAATAAAATATGCATACAATGTGTAAAACATAAAAAAGTTAAGTAGCATTAAAAATTCCAATATCATTTAAATAGGTATTTAAGTAGGTAATTACATTTTAAAGCATAACATAGACTATAGATTACATTCATTAACTTGAGACACTCTTTAATATTTCATTCCTATATTCATGTACAATGCCATAGATATCGAATGTATTCATAGATTTATTTCTATGTATAAAAACCTTTTCTCTCATTAACCTCTAACAAACAGACAAACAATACAGAAATATATCAATGTCTAATGGTCCTGTTTTTCTTTGAATTCCCATACTTCTGAGTAAATAAATATTGTCTCTGTATTAAGCGAACTGATTAGATGTTATATCCAAGTTAGAATAATGATGGTAGACAGGTAGACATTAAGGCATTTTAGAGATTGTAATGAGGATTTTAAAGAAAACATAATTTAAAATATTTACCATTAAAGGGGTAAATAGTTAAATTCTTACGAATTCTTTTTCAACTTGTTAGGTTTTTTTATCACGGGCTGCAAAACTTTCAGGATTGAGCTTATACTTAAATGATGCGAAATCTTTCTAACTAAAGGAAAAAAAATACAAGTTTCTAAGCTAATGACATCAAAACTAAAAAAGTTAATAATTGGAATCACATTGTCATTTATACATTCATAATATAAGTACTAATTGATATACAAACAACCTTGGAAACAGTTTAAAAAATAATATTTTCAGTTTACAAAAAGTATGATATCATTTGCATTGATAAAATCTGCCCGTACAATAATATCAGGATTTCATATTTAATAATTTGATAATAAAGTTACTGTGAAATCATGATAAGACACTTACAGTTATTAATAATAGAAAGATATGAAAATGAAATTTAAAAAAGTGATAATTTAACTTCATATTTTGTACAGTTGTATGATTATAATAAGTTATTAATATTTTATATGAGAGAAGTGCCAGGGGCCATAATTAGGATTTAAATGATACACTTAAAATCAAAAGACTTTAGCTTATTTTAAATTTTTTTATATCTATGTTGTCTATTATAGATTGGTGCGAGGTTTTTACATTGTTGGCATTATGACTAAATTCTAAGTTTAGAATTTTAACAGCCATAAAGCTTCTCATATTTATAGAATGATAGTTATACAGCATGTAGGTACATATGCCTAAGTAGATGACTCATTTCATTACTAATTGTGTGAACAGGACAAGCATGAGTCTAATATAAGTATGACTAAGGATTTAACAAAGTGATACAATTTATTCCCATTGTATGTATACCTACCATAGGTAGGCAGAAAAGTACAAGTAGGCATGTGCCTAACTTCATAAAAGTTGACAACTTTCCCAACTTTCAAATGGAAGGGCTCTTACAGGAAATGTTATACTACGGCCGGTTTTTCCCTTCAAATTACATAACTATACAACTTGATCATTTCGATGAAGTCCGCAATCCAGCTTTTCTAATAGACACACATAAGTATCTACCTATACAACATGAGATCGACATGTAATCAAAATACACGATAAAAATACGCGCCAAACTCGACGAGACTAACAAAACAGTTGCTAGTGACCTAAATAACGCGCATTATAAGTGCAGTAATAATATACTTTCATGCATACGAGCGCAGCACGACAATATCATGCGATTTACAAATGTATGTACAACGTACACAACCACACTGAGTACTTGTAGTACCCACCTACATTCGGCTAACTTGAAAGTACGAGCTTTGCCGCATAGAATACAATTGCGTTTATCACGTTTGCCACCTCTTCACAATCTTCTTATATCTCCGAAGGCCAACTACAGTAACGCGTGCCGTGTTGACCGATGTAAGCAACTAATCTTGTGCATAACACGTGTAAAAACTATAGCTACCTTAATAATCAGCTCGATCTCTGGGACGTCTCCGTTCGCTGTTCCATTCTCCGCGATTTCATCCGACATCGTGAACTCCAGAAACACTTGTAAATTATCAGAAAAATATACTTTACAACACAATTTCACACAACCGTCACTGTTCCAAAACACCGACAGACTGCCTGACTTCAGTGTCATTATCAAAGTTGTTTGTTGTGTTACTAACTTCAGATTGGTTATTCCTCAACGCTAAGGCGAGCGCTTTTAAAAATACTTCATATAAAAAGATGAATGATTTAAAAGTTCATTCCAGTAAATGTAAATTATTTTATTTTCCATATTCAGTGGATAGAAAATAATAGAAATGAAAATGACTCTTCTGTATCCGACAAATGATTTCCTAAATCTAATTAATCGACTAATTTCAATCTAAAATTAAGTAGGAGCTAATTAATCGACTACGTTTAATCTGAAATCCGAGAATGGTCCTGATTTCTTTTCCTGATTCAAGAAACAAAGAAACATTTCTTTGCATGTAAATTCACTGATTAAGATATTATTTTATCTTTTTTGTTTTTTTATTAAAACACATTAGATCTTCAACATCTTTTTGTCAATCTAGTAGTTGTTTCAATTTAAACCAGTTATGATAAAAACTGACTAAGTAAGGCCAGCCCTCGGTGCATGTCACAACACTCACGTAACATGATCATTGGTTGTCAAAGTCACTAACGTCAACGTAATACGTCTTATTAAACGTCAAACTCATATCATCAAAACAGTTTTGGATTTGTTGTGATTACGTTTTGGATTTGGATTTATTTACTTTTATTTTTGTTCGCCGCTTCTTGATTCTTGGTCGCTTGCTTGCTCATCCGTGCATATTACAGTGCATCAGTGCTCGTCCGGTTATCAGTAGTTTTGTATTTTCTGTTTAAATTAAAAGGCTTGCACACAGACTTTGTTAATATTTCGTATGCATTTGATATTATTGTTCTGCAAAAGTTCTGAGATACAACAATGAGTACCCAACCAGAAGAATCAACAACAGCCCCCAAAGAGCTATCGTTTGCCGAGAAACAAGCGGAACGTATGAAAAGGTTACGATCACTTCATACTGCTAGAAACGAAGCAAGGACACACAACCATCAAGAAGTGGTCGCTGAGGAGGCAAGGAATAAGCTGCCGCCAAACTATGAAGCGAAGCGACGACAAGCTGAATGGCTGCTCGACGACCAAGCGAAGCGTCAAGAGGCAGAGAAAGCAGGGAAAGATTATGACAGAGTGAAACTATTGAACATATCAGCAGTAGAGGCTGAGCGACTTGAACGTAAAAAGAAGAAGAAGAATCCTGATGAAGGATTCTCCACATATGAACAAGCTACAGTGAGGCAATACAACAGACTGGTTAAAAACATGCCTGCAACTGATATGGAACAATATGAGAAACAGAAACAGAAGTACGGCGATGCTTTCTATGGTGGGCCTAATGTTATCATTCATGGAATGCATGAGGATCGAAGAGAAGCTGTTGATAAGATGGTGGATGACCTGGAAGGGCAGATTGCCAAGAGAGCTCGCTACTCTAGAAGACGCACACACAATGACGATGCAGATATTGACTACATCAATGAAAGAAATGCCAAGTTCAACAAGAAACTGGAGAGATTTTATGGAGAGCATACAGCTGAAATTAAACAGAACTTGGAGCGTGGTACTGCCATATAAATGCTAAATGACAAAAAGACTAGAAATTTTAACTGGTTGTAAATAATGTGATATATAGTGTTAAGAAGATAAATTAGTGAAGTGGCAATTTTTTGCCAAAAATCAGCTCATTATACATGGTGTAATTTGAGTGTAGTTAACAACATTGAAGTCTCTTGCTATTGATGTCTGTGGTAACATGCAACACTTGGCTTAGAAAAGTTGAATTCATTAGATTAGAGTAAGTTTTATGTGGACCTAAAATCATATAATCCAGTGTTCATGTACCATAGTTATTAGGAATTCATGACAAATCATGATAAAATTGATTTTGTAATTTTATAGATTCTTTCATTTAACATAGAAGTATTAGTGTAATGGCCTATATTGGAGCTGGGGACAGAGGAAACTGTTGGTCACTTTAGATTTGTAAGGAGGTGATGATGTCAAATGAGGATATATACATGGAGTATTATGTTATATGTACATGAAGTGTACATACATAATACCTAGTATATAGGTTATTTAGATTAATGTACCTAGATCAATTTGGTTCTTAATTGTTAATAAAAGGTTATAAATGTAGCATAGCACAATTTTTCCAAAGTCAAATCAAGACCTTTGCTGTGAGACAGTGGTTACATAAGTTGTTCAAAGTTATATTACGCTCTTTAATTCCCCTCCACGTAAAAAATCTACTGAATGCCTACATTCAATAGATTTTGTTTAAAATCATAAGTCTTATCAAATTAAATAGTACCTACATTATGGTACATGCAAGTGTTTAATGTTTGGTGCTTCGTCTTCGATTTACTGTTTGGTACTTTGTCTAGGCCTGACGGCTCGGGGCTTAATGTGCCTCAGCGGTAATCATCAATACACCCGATAAGCATGAGTTTCTACAACAACAAGATGATCAACGTTTACGAGTTGACGTTAAGTTTCCGTTTTCGAGTTGTTGGTAGTACGAGTGTCTAACTTGGACCGAACGAGCACACGAAAACGTATTTCGTGAAGCATAGATAGACTAAAGCCGACCTACCTAGAACATCAAATGCCTTCCCGTCGGGTAAGGGCGAAGGGTACTGTCAGACTCTTACTGAAAAAAAATCATTCGTTGCAACCCCCCGACGGGTATTGGCCCGCCAGATGGTAAGGCGGGCCCCGTCACCCACTGCGGCCGTCACCCCGACCGCAGGACTCCACTATGAGGCGCGCGCGGAACACGGCGCCGCCGCCTCGAGGCCTGCTGCTGGTCAGAGGACAAGACGCCCCGAGTCTGTCGTCCACAGGCCGCGCCCTACGGTGGCCGCAGGTCGGCCACCCTACGACGTCTAGTGCGTCTGCTGCGGGAGGGGAGTGAGGAGGCAGCCTCTCTCTCCCTTTCCGCCGCCTCCTTTGCGAGCATCACGGCCTCGCAAAAGATAGCGACGGCACTCCACCCTGACTCGCTCCCGACCATAGTAGACACTACAGCCGGAAGCGAGAGATTTCCCGCAGCACCTACGGCCGCGACCAGGTCACGGCGCTGCTAGGCCCAAGCTGGACATTCCGCCAACGTATGCAGCGCCGTATCGTCGCGGCAATTACCACAATGGTGGCACTGAGACGTCGGCTCCCGGCCTATGCGACACAGGTACTTCCCGAAACACCCGTGTCCAGTAAGCACCTGCGTCAGCCGGAAACTGAGGGCGCCGTGGCTCCTATTGAGCCACTCCTCTAGAACGGGCCTTACCGCTTCTATAGCGGCGTGCCCCGCCGTGGGTTGCGCTAAGCGCGTCTGCCACTCCGCCATTAAGGACTGGCGGAGTTCTGCCCTGCGTGCCTTAACCTTTCGAGGCACCAGGCGCTCGCCCCGCTCGACTGCCTCCGCGCGCCACCAATAGAGCGACGCGAGGAGTTTTGCGTCGAGGTCCCAGGGCGAGGATCCGGCTAGGAGGCTCGCTGCCTCAAAGGAGATCGTACGGTATCCCCTGATTATTCTGACAGCCATCGCGCGCTGTGGCCTTCGCAGCGCGGCGATGTTGCGGGCCGTCAGGGCGTCCGCCCATACTGGCGCAGCGTATAACGCCATCGACCGTACGACCCCCATGTAGAGCCTCCGGCAGGAGGAGATGGGCCCCCCCTGGTTGGGCAGCAAGCGCGACAGCGCAGCAGCGGCGCCCATCAACCGGGGGGCGAGCCGTGTAAAGTGCGGCCCGAAATTCCACCGACTGTCCAGAACGAGTCCGAGGTACTTCATCGTGGACTCAACAGCGATGGAAACCCCTCCTACTATAATGCTGGATCCTTGAGGCGGCTTCATCCTCGGCCCATGAAAACACAGGGCCTCCGATTTGTGCAATGCCACCTCTAAGCCCAGCCGCCGGATCCTACCCACGACGTGCGCGACACCAGCCGTCGCGCGTATGGCCGCCTGCCGGTACGACTTTCCACGCGCTGTAACTAGCGTATCGTCGGCGTAACAAATGACGCCGACGCCGTGGAGTAGCGCACCGCGCAGAGCCCAGTCTTAGCCAACGTTCCACAAGAGCGGACCCAACACCGATCCCTGCGGAACGCCGCACGACGTCTCTCGCCGACCCCATCCTTCTCGACCCGGGTACACCACCGACCTGTCCGATAAATAGGCCCCGACAATGCGTTGGAGGTAGCGCGGCACCCCGTGATACCGGAGCGCTTCTCGGATGGTAGGCCAGGGCAAGGTGATGAAAGCGTTGGCGATGTCGAGCGACACCGCCAAGACCACCTCGCCCCGGGCGACTGCCTCCTCCGCCAGGACCTTTACGCGCATGATCGCGTCGACCGTGGAGCGCCCCTGGCGGAAACCATATTGGTTGTCCGCCAAATCCGGCCCCACCCTGGTCATGTGCTGGACGAGGCAGCCGGCGATGATTCGCTCGAAGATCTTACACACCTCGTCCAGCAACACGATCGGCCTGTACGCAGACGGGGAGTCTGCGGGGCGCCCCGCCTTCTTGAGCAGGACCAGCTTTCCGGTCTTCCACCGGCTTGGAAACTGGCCCCGCTCCAAACATGCGCTTAAGAGCCCCGCTAGTCGGGGCCAGAGAGCTCTCATAGCCAGGACCCATGCACGGCCTGGAATGCCGTCGGGCCCTGGGGCGGTGTTCTTGATGCGAGCCACCGCCACTCTCAACTCTACCCGGGTCACTTCGGGCACGTTTTCGTCAGTCTCGTATTCCGCGTTGGGCGAACTACGAGGCGGAACCATAGCCGGTGGAGTGTGCTCCGGTCTCGTCGGAAACAACGCACACACCACCTCCTCCAGCAGTTGTGGCTGGAGACTCCGGGTTAGTGGGGGGGCCCATTGGCGCAATTTGCCCCGTACCATGAGGTAGGGGCGTCCCCACGGATCTCGGTCCAGAGTCCTCAACAGCTCTACGTTGGCCTGGGCCTTTGCCCGGACAATGGCCAGCTGGAGGGCGCTTTTCGCCTCTCTATAGCGGTTGTATAGTTCCGCCTCTTCCAGTTCGGCCGCAGCTGTAAAGGGGCGGCGGCGTCTTCTTCGGTACCTTGCGTACTGGCGTCGCACCCGTACACAAGCGGTGCGTAATTGCGCAATCGAGTACGACCACCAGTACACTTGGCGCCTGGATGGTAGCGGCCGGACTCGGGGCATGCCAGCGTCGCAGATATGCGACATGTTCTCCCGGAACCACTCCGCCTCCTCGTCGATGTTGGTTGGCCTGTCTGGAGAGTCCAACCAGGCCTTGATGATAGATGCCTCCAGGAGAGCCTCCCTGTCCAACCGCTTTAACGCCCAACGCGGACCGTCTCCAACGCCCACCGGGGCCGCTTGGATCGGCCCAACCGAGGTCTGAGCAGAGACGCTGAATCGAATATATCGGTGGTCAGACAGCGTCTCTACCTCTTCCAACACGTGCCAGTCCTGGACAGTGCGTGCGAGAGCGGGGCTAGCGAAAGATAAGTCCACTATAGACCCACCTCGCTGCCGCACGCACGTCTGCACGGAACCCCGGTTGAGGAGAAGCAGGCCCTGCTCGACCGCCCACTCCTCCACTAACTCGCCCCGCGCATTCGTAGCCGGGGAACCCCAAGCCGTAGATTTGGCATTGAAGTCCCCTAGGACGATCACGGGGCGAGGATGACTACGACTGACAATCGTGCCCAACTCCAATATCAAACCCTCCATGTCGGCGAGAGAAAGGCTGGGGGCGAAATATACCCCCGCGACCATAATATTTCCCCAAACTGCCGCGACATAGCCCCGCCCTCGGGTGACGGCCTCGAAGGGAAGGGTGTCGGCAGCGGACCTCAAAATCAGTGCCACCGAGCGGTTTGTGTCGCACACCCAGTCATCCCTGGGTGGCACAAAATACGGCTCGGCGACAACTGCCACATCGATCGACCA